CTATTGACGCCCCCGTTTCTGGAGGTGAGAAGATAAAAAGCAAAATTTTATTTAGAATATCTTAACTTATTTTATCACATACGCCTTTTGTTGTTTTTTTATTTATTTTAGGAATTGTTGGTGCGGAATCCGCCAATTTAACATTTATGGTTGGAGCATCCACACTAGAAGATTTCAACAGGGCAAAACCATATTTAAGTCATATGGGTAAAAATATAATTCATTGTGGGGGATTAGGTGCGGGACAAATAGCAAAAATATGTAATAATATGTTATTAGCGATAACAATGATCGGTGTAGCGGAAACAATGAATCTTGGAGTGAAACTTGGTATGGATCCAAAATTGTTGGCAAATATTTTAAATACTTCTTCTGGTAGATGTTGGTCAAGCGATAGTTATAATCCTTGTCCTGGTGTTTTATCAAACGTACCTTCAAGTAAAAATTATGAAGGTGGTTTTAATAATAAGTTAATGGCAAAAGATACAAAGTTAGCGGTTAATGCTGCTAACGACGCCAATGCTACCGTCATTTTAGGAGCAATTGCTCAACAATTGTATAGTTTACTTTCGAATACTGTTGGTTATGAAAAGAAAGATTTTAGTTCTATTTATAGATGGTTAAACGAATCTAATAATTGAGTACTTTTGAGTACTCGTAAAACCTGAATTATATATGGAAAGCCAGTTTTTATCAAATATCATAGTGATTGTGATTAGTGATATGCATGTGATAAAATGATATACACCGATTTTTTATATATATTTTTAAATAATAATACACAAATTTTTTTTTTTTTTTTTTAAAAATAAATTAAGTTTGATTTTTTATCCTCCTGAAATAAAAAAAAAACCATTCTTGCCCGAAAGCTCTTTACGAATTTATTATTATTATTTTTTTTTTTTTTTGTCTTATAGGGTTTTATATGTTACTTAAAGAAAAAAAGAATTTCTAATAATCATAAAATAAAGGGGTTATGTACAAAAGTTTACGATACGAGGGAGGGAATTAATATTTATCGATTGAATGAAGGTAAAAACTTAAGAGAGACCGATGGACCGATTAATATAAAAAAATTATTACAAAACATAATTTAAAAAGAATTATCCACAACTAAAATGGGGTATAATTACAATTTTTTTTTTTTTTTTTTTAAAAAAAAAAAAAAAAGTTTGTGAAATCGTTGCATATCTGTGAGATGAACTTTTTTTTTGTCTTAAAAAAAAAAAATCATTAATATCGAATTCAACGAATGAGTCTAACATATATGTGGATAAAGTTCGATAATTTCGATAAATCCATAGTCCTCAAACATATGGTTGAAATTAAAAAAAATAGATCGTGTCAAATCGAATTAATCAAATCGTGAGATTTGATATTGTAATACGAGATAAATATAGTAAGGAACTTTAGAAGAAAAAATTTTCCTTTTTTTTTTTTTTTTTTTTTTTTTTTTTTTTCTCTTTCTTTAATTCCATCTCAATTCACACCATGCAAACCGTTTAAAATCTCATCTAAAGAGGCTACCGTAACGCCTTGAGTTGGAAATAATTCGTTCATTAAAGTGTTTTGCAGCGCTTCGCTATCATCAAAACAACATTCGCGCACAACGGTAACATTCAGATCTCTGTCAGCGGCAGAACGGCATGTAGAAAGAATCACATCACTAGTTGCGATACCAGAAAGAATGATATGACGGATATTTCGTGATTCGAGTATCATTTGAAGATCAGTATTATAAAAAGCGTCGACGCGACGTTTCTTTTTTTTTTTATATATATATATGTTTTTTTTTTTTAAAAAAAAAAAAAAATGGGAAATCATTTCTTAGTAATTAATGAATTAATCGAGAGGAATATCATGTGTAAAGTTGTAAAAAATATTGGAACATACTTTGATTATAATATCATCCTGATTGATTGATAAAAAAAAAATAATTAAGTGATGTTCACAGAATATAATGAAATGCTTTAAATATCTCATTTACCAACCTCTCTTGGTATCATTCCATCGATAAATTCTGCCCCTTTAGTCCCTTCAATAAGCCTTCCCAAGTTCTTCAGCTTCTCAAAATAACGATTATTTGAAGAAACCTCGGGATAGCCAAGTCGAAACTATACAAAAAATAATGCGCAAAAAAAAAAAAATTAATAGTTTATTAGGTTAGCGAATTTTAAGTATTTAAATAGATCGCGTCTGTAACGAATAACTCACAGAAAGGCCAACAGAGAAGCTACAGATGTTCTTTTTTTGCTTAGCCTGATGAGCTTGATGAATAGTAGCCTGGTGAACGGTTTTAAAAAGTGTTTTTGAACGCATTAAAAAGTTATTCAGAATATTGCTTGTCTGAAACCTACGTGTGTTTAATAAAAAAACGCGTTAGTTAATTGAACAAGTTGAATTCCGTAATGAAAATAAATTATTTAATTACGCGTATCTAATAATTTAAATTTATAAACCTAGAATGAACCCAAACACTCACATTCCAATGATATCGTTTTGATAACCACAAAACAAAAAGCTATAATAAATGAAATAAGATGTTAATTAACAATGAATTATCATCAAAAACAGAAAATTCATCAGTGTCACGTACGCTACGTTTTCAAGGACCATGGAAGGGGTTATGGGTACTGTTGTTGAATATATCCGTGAAGGAGTGTATGAGTTTGTTATGTGGGTTGACGCAGCCCCATATGGGATATAGTTTGGAGAGCTAGAAGCATTTGTAAGTGTCAGCGTGTTTGTCCCATTTGTACGAGTCGTTGCGGCTATTGACGGGTTAGATGAGTAGTGGGTATTAGGAGGCTTTAAATATAATATTTCGAAAATGTGAGGTTAGTTAAAAAAAAGTGAAACTCAAATTGTGACTATCTAAACCAGTCGTCACATTATGACGTCAAAATTTGTATTTATACAATTGATACCAAAAAAAAAAAATCATTTTTCTCAGCATGATGAAACAACTTACTAAACTCAAAGCATTACTAAAATTCGAGTGTTCTGGAGGTGATATAACTGAAGTCCCAGAAATAGGTGTAGGCTGTGAATTAACTTGTAGGGAAACCTCGGACGTCCCTTGATTTTCGCCAGTACGGAACTGGTGACGGTTTTTGAATTTAGATATCCACCCGTTTGAAGCTTGGAACTCGTTACGAATTCCGAACATCTGCGCAAACTCCAGAGCCTTCTCCTGAAGTTGTGCATCGCTGACGGGACTGCCACTACCAATGTGTAAAGTTAACCATGACGATAATGCTTCCTCTATTTGAGGAAATTTTGGTGATTTTTGAGTTTTCTGTTTGGCATAATTGGAATTAGGATCAATAGCTAACCACTTTTCCCGTTGTTTGAGGATTTTAGTGATTGTACTCCTGTCAAGACCATATTCTTTGGCGAGGTCCTCGTCTCTGAGCTTCAAATTCTCTCTCTTCTTTAAGCATATTTGTTGCTTTGTTAGGGCGGTGATAGGGACCCGTTTCTTCTTCTGCTTCTGCTCTTGGGGCATTGTTGTGAAAAGTAAAATTGAGGGCTGTTCGCAAAAGTCACCTAGAAACAAACAATATTTTTTTGAAATCCCAGATTGTGCAAATATGATGTCACATTTTATAATAAAAAATCTCTGTTAAAAACCCTGAATTTCCAAACCCCAAATTGCTTATGACCTTGTGATTCGACGTTAATATTCAGCCAATCAAGAACAATCACCTTTTATAAAATCATTATCTTTTGTAGACAAAGAACTTTGGATAAAAGGAGTAAAATTGCCCAGCAAGTTTTCTTTACTAACGAAAATCCTATCATTTACTCATCGAAAGCTTGAAACCCATGAAGATGTCACTATTATTCCAAAATTGGAAAACAAACACTCTACTCCACAATAAAAAAAAAAAAATTTAAAAATAATGTCATCGCGTTTCTTCTACTGATGCAGCAATCATGGAAATTCCATGGATTTTATGGTCAAAGATTATCAAATCAAACTCCTTAACAAAAGAAGTGATGGATAAAAATGAATATTACTTTTTTTTTTTTTTTAATAATTTTCGGAAATAAATAAATAAATATATATATACATCAGAATACTAAGATTAAATCTTAATTTTTTAAGATAATCTAGGTTTGATTTATAAATAAGCCATTAAATTTCTTATTTAGAATAAATTAAAAAAAGGTTAAAATATTCAGAGGGAAAAGAAAATAAATGAACAATAATCATTACAAAACAATTATTGTCAACTATTTTGATCGAC